GCCTTCCACGAGATGGACGTCGTGAAGATCTCGGCATCCTGGTAGTAATTGATGCCGGAGTACCTGAAAACAGCTTAAATATATCTAATATTAAGTAGAAAAGGTACAATTTCTGGGGAAATTGTGTTCTTGCCTGCAGCAGTAGTCTACAAGTGCAGTGGGCGGAGTAGCATTTGTCACTCTGCTGGCTGCTCACACACCTGGGTTCCTATGGCAACTCACTCTACAGCAAGGGCAGAGGAGTGGGCGGAGCCTCTGTTGACACAGCTGGGTTGCTATGGCAACTCACTCTGAGAGGCATTTTTAAGTGTTCTTGCTAGAGATGAGCTGCTGGGGAAGAGAAATAATACTGTCAGTCAGTATGACATGCAGATGAGTGCCGTCGATCTTAGAATCACCGCACACTTCACTCATTTGGGCAGTCACGGGGCCAAAACCAGAGTGTGGAGCCACAGTGTGGCGGTGGAGGCAGCAGCAATGGGAGGCCATACAGCACCCTATGACAAAAATGGAAACCACCAGCAGTGTGAGGAGACCTGAAAGTGGCACATGGCAGAGTGTGGCGATAGAGACAGCAGCAATGGGAGGCCGTACAGGGACCCATGACACACTCTGGACCTGGCAGCAGCATGAGGAGGCGGTACAGCATGAGGAGTCGGTACAGGGGCCCATGGCAGATTACGGGCCTGGCAGCAGCAATGGGAGGCCGTACAGGGACCCATGACACACTCTGGACCTGGCAGCAGCATGGGGAGGCGGTACAGGGGCCCATGACAGATTACGGGCCTGGCAGCAGCATGAGGAGTCGGTACGGGGGCCCATGACACACTCTGGACCTGGCAGCAGCATGAGGAGGCGGTACAGGGGCGCATGACAGATTACGAGCCTGGCAGCAGCAACTTGGACAGGAGGACGTTCAGCTTCTGCACCGTCGGGTGCGTGCTCGCAAACTGTTGTCTCTTGGAAACGGATTCCAAGAAAGACTGCTGACGGAATCCGTGAAGAGGAGTAGCAGGAGAAGGAGCATCTGAACGAGCGGAATATGCCAACAAGCGACAACAGTGGCCCATGACAGATTACGGGCCTGGCAGCAGCATGAGGAGTCGGTACGGGGGCCATGGCAGATTACGGGCCTGGCAGCAGCTATGGGAGGCCCGTAATCTGCCAGCACCCTATGACAAAAAATGGAACCCACCAGCAGTGTGAGGAGACCTGAAAGTGGCACATGGCAGAGTGTGGCGATGGAGACAGCAGCAATGGGAGGCCGTACAGGGACCCATGAGAGACTCTGGACCTGGCAGCAGCATGAGGAGGCGGTATAGGGGCCCATGGCAGATTAGGGGCCTGGCAGCAGCTATGGGAGGCCCGTAATCTGCCAGCACCCTATGACAAAAAATGGAACACACCAGCAGTGTGAGGAGACCTGAAAGTGGCACATGGCAGAGTGTGGCGATGGAGGCAGCAGCAATGGGAGGCCGTACAGGGACCCATGAGAGACTCTGGACTTGGCAGCAGCATGAGGAGGCGGTATAGGGGCCCATGGCAGATTAGGGGCCTGGCAGCAGCTATGGGAGGCCCGTAATCTGCCAGCACCCTATGACAAAAAATGGAACACACCAGCAGTGTGTGAGAGAGACCTGAAAGTGGCACATGTTTGGGGCATGATTCATGGCGGATTTAGTCAGTTGTGTCAGGAACTGGTGGTTTGAAATCCAGACTAATCCACGCCTGATTCATTTTCACAAACGTGAGTCTCTCCACACTTTGGGTGGACAGTCGTGTCCTCCGCGGAGTTGCAATACCTCCTGCCGCACTAAACACGCGCTCCGATGCCACGCTACTGGCCGGGCATGACCTTTCAAGGGCAAATTCAGCTAGTTGGGGCCAAAGGTCAAGTTTCGTTGCCCAGTAGTCAAGGGGATTGTCTACCTCGGTTGGCAGGGTGCTGTCCAAGTAGGCCTAAGCTGTTGTTTTGAGGTCCTGCTCCAGGTCCACCTGATGCTGCTGCTGCTGCTGCGGCTGGTTAGTAGTTTCCTCACTGCGCTGGTGAAGAAAGCTACTCATCATCGACTGCAGACTGAGGCAGCCGCTGCTGGTAGCTGCCACTGCTCCTACCACCCCCACCCCTCCCCTGCTGCCATGGCAGCGGAACACGAGCGCACAGGGCCCACAGTGTCTGAGGATGGACGTTGGCGCAGACAGGCAGAGACCAGCTGACTACATAGGTGTTTTTTTATAGTACGTTATTTTGGCCTCCCTCTCAGCAGGTGTGAAAAAGGCCACCATTTTTGAACGGTAGCGAGGGTCCAACAAGGTGGACAGCCAAAAGTCATCCCTCTGTCTGATGGTTATTATTCGGCTGTCGCTACGCAAGCAACCGAGCATGCTATGGGCCATTTGTGCCAAGGAATGCGAGGGACTCCCTGCCTCCATCTCCACAGCATACTGCCACGGTGCGTCTAGGTCCTCTGTCTCCTCTTCCTCCTCCTCTACCAGATGCTCCTGCTCCTCCACTCCTGTCCGCTGAGTGGAAAAACCACCCATTTCACTCAATAATTCCTGAGCACCAATGTCCTCCTCTACCTCCTCCTCTTCTTCCAGTCCTGCCCCCACAGGGGCCATGTGGCGTTGAGATCTGTGCGCCACGTCTACCGCACCCTGACCAGCCATTGTTAACAGCATTTGTTCCAGGACGTGCAACAGAGGAATGACGTCGTTCATCCCATAGTCCTGCCGACTCACGAATAGCGTGGCCTCCTCAAAGGGCCTGAGCAAGCGCAGGTGTCACGCATGAGCTGCCAATGGCTGACATCTAAGTTACACAGGGAGTACCTTTATCTGCTTTTAACATCAGGAAATCTGTGATGGCCTTTTGCTGTTCGTAAAGGCGGTCTAACATATGTAGGGTTGAATTCCACCTTGTTGCAACGTCACAGCATGAGGAGTCGGTATAGGGGCCCATGGCAGATTAGGGGCCTGGCAGCAGTTATGGGAGGCCCATAATCTGCCAGCACCCTATGACAAAAAATGGAACACACACCAGCAGTGTGAGGAGACCTGAAAGTGGCACATGGCAGAGTGTGGCGATGGAGACAGCAGCAGCAATGGGAGGCCGTACAGGGACCCATGAGAGACTCTGGACCTGGCAGCAGCATGAGGAGGCGGTATATAGGGGCCTACGGCAGATTAGGGGCCTGGCAGCAGCTATAGAGGCCCGTAATCTGCCAGCACCCTATGTCAAAAAATTCAACACACCAGCAGTGTGTGAGGAGACCTGAAAGTGGCACATGGCAGAGTGTGGCGATGGAGACAGCAGCAATGGGAGGCCGTACAGGGACCCATGACAGACTCTGGACTTGGCAGCAGCATGAGGAGGCGGTATATAGGGGCTTATGGCAGATTAGGGGCCTGGCAGCAGCTATAGGAGGCCCGTAATCTGCCAGCACCCTATGTCAAAAAATTCAACACACCAGCAGTGTGAGGAGACCTGAAAGTGGCACATGGCAGAGTGTGGCGATGGAGACAGCAGCAATGGGAGGCCGTACAGGGACCCATGACAGACTCTGAACTTGGCAGCAGCATGAGGAGGCGGTATATAGGGGCCCATGGCAGATTAGGGGCCTGGCAGCAGCTATGTGAGGCCCGTAATCTGCCAGCACCCTATGTCAAAAAATTAAACACACCAGCAGTGTGAGGAGACCTGAAAGTGGCACATGGCAGCAGCAGCAGAGTGTGGCGATGGAGACAGCAGCAATGGGAGGCCGTACAGGGACCCATGACAGACTCTGGACTTGGCAGCAGCATGAGGAGGCGGTATATAGGGGCCCATGGCAGATTAGGGGCCTGGCAGCAGCTATGTGAGGCCCGTAATCTGCCAGCACCCTATGTCAAAAAATTTAAACACACCAGCAGTGTGAAGAGACCTGAAAGTGGCACATGGCAGCAGAGTGTGGCGATGGAGACAGCAGCAATGGGAGGCCGTACAGGGACCCATGACAGACTCTGGACTTGGCAGCAGCATGAGGAGGCGGTATAGGGGCCCATGGCAGATTAGGGGCCTGGCAGCAGCTATGTGAGGCCCGTAATCTGCCTGCCTGCACCCTATGTCAAAAAATTTTAACACACCAGCAGTGTGAAGAGACCTGAAAGTGGCACATGCAGCAGAGTGTGGCGATGGAGACAGCAGCAATGGGAGGCCGTACAGGGACCCATGACAGACTCTGGACTTGGCAGCAGCATGAGGAGGCGGTATATAGGGGCCCATGGCAGATTAGGGGCCTGGCAGCAGCTATGTGAGGCCCGTAATCTGCCTGCACCCTATGTCAAAAAATTAAACACACCAGCAGTGTGAAGAGACCTGAAAGTGGCACATGGCAGCAGAGTGTGGCGATGGAGACAGCAGCAATGGGAGGCCGTACAGGGACCCATGACAGACTGGACTTGGCAGCAGCATGAGGAGGCGGTATATAGGGGCCCATGGCAGATTAGGGGCCTGGCTGGCAGCAGCTATGTGAGGCCCGTAATCTGCCTGCACCCTATGTCAAAAAATTAAACACACCAGCAGTGTGAAGAGACCTGAAAGTGGCACATGGCAGCAGTAGTGTGGCGATGGAGACAGCAGCAATGGGAGGCCGTACAGGGACCCATGACAGACTCTGGACTTGGCAGCAGCATGAGGAGGCGGTATATAGGGGCCCATGGCAGATTAGGGGCCTGGCAGCAGCTATGTGAGGCCCGTAATCTGCCTGCACCCTATGTCAAAAAATTTAACACACCAGCAGTGTGAAGAGACCTGAAAGTGGCACATGGCAGCAGAGTGTGGCGATGGAGACAGCAGCAATGGGAGGCCGTACAGGGACCCATGAGAGACTCTGGACTTGGCAGCAGCATGAGGAGGCGGTATATAGGGGCCCATGGCAGATTAGGGGCCTGGCAGCAGCTATGTGAGGCCCGTAATCTGCCTGCACCCTATGTCAAAAAATTTAACACACCAGCAGTGTGAAGAGACCTGAAAGTGGCACATGGCAGCAGAGTGTGGCGATGGAGACAGCAGCAATGGGAGGCCGTACAGGGACCCATGACAGACTCTGGACTTGGCAGCAGCAGCATGAGGAGGCGGTATATAGGGGCCCATGGCAGATTAGGGGCCTGGCAGCAGCTATGTGAGGCCCGTAATCTGCCTGCACCCTATGTCAAAAAATTAAACACACCAGCAGCAGTGTGAAGAGACCTGAAAGTGGCACATGGCAGCAGAGTGTGGCGATGGAGACAGCAGCAATGGGAGGCCGTACAGGGACCCATGACAGACTCTGGACTGGCAGCAGCATGAGGAGGCGGTATATAGGGGCCCATGGCAGATTAGGGGCCTGGCAGCAGCTATGTGAGGCCCGTAATCTGCCTGCACCCTATGTCAAAAAATTAAATTAAACACACCAGCAGTGTGAAGAGACCTGAAAGTGGCACATGGCAGCAGAGTGTGGCGATGGAGACAGCAGCAATGGGAGGCCGTACAGGGACCCATGACAGACTCTGGACTTGGCAGCAGCATGAGGAGGCGGTATATAGGGGCCCATGGCAGATTAGGGGCCTGGCAGCAGCTATATGTGAGGCCCGTAATCTGCCTGCACCCTATGTCAAAAAAATTAAAACACACCAGCAGTGTGAAGAGACCTGAAAGTGGCACATGGCAGCAGAGTGTGGCGATGGAGACAGCAGCAATGGGAGGCCGTACAGGGACCCATGAGAGACTCTGGACTTGGCAGCAGCATGAGGAGGCGGTATATAGGGGCCCATGGCAGATTAGGGGCCTGGCAGCAGCTATGTGAGGCCCGTAATCTGCCTGCACCCTATGTCAAAAAAATTAACACACACA